TTATAAATATAACTGGATATTAGACCTAATCTCTTCCATGATTTTAATTTTAAAGTAAATTTTAAAGTTCTTTTTAACAGATGTGAATTTAATGAGAACATTAAGGCAAGTTCAATAACAATCTATAGATTAAGAAGGGTTTAATATAACAGCACATAATTAATTTGTGCAATTAACATTTGTGGGTCTAATTATAACGGGATTTTAATCATTACAAAATTGAACTTATTTCAGTTTTTTTTTTTAGATTAAGTTATTATTTACATAAGAATCAATTAATTGTCTTAAATACAAAATGATTAACATTTATAGCATTTAAAATAAAGATAAAATCTTAATTGTAGAATCAATTTAATTAGATAGAAAGGCCTGTATAATCTCATGAAATTGCGCTAAGTTTTAATGAAAGATGTGTGTAGAGCCTAATTAATTTCTAAATGTTAAAGTCAGATTCATTTCTATTTATTGGAGGTCAGAAGTTTACAAAGTTCAATCTTGGAGTTTAAAAGTGCAGAGAGTTATTTTTCATTTGACGAAAATACGATAAGAAAGAATATTTACTAGGTACTCAAATAAGAAAAGGGCACGATACAGTTAAAGTGAGAAGTACGCATCGATGCAGAAATGTCGATTGCTTCTAATAATGGGGAATCTTCGTCAGTGATAGCGGTAGAGGAGGTATGAAGTAAGGAAACAAAGCGGACGATTACAATCACTTCCCTTGCTCCGGAAACAGTAAATGACAGGTCAGTAGCGGGCACGAGTACTGTACAATTACAGTAGCTCGGAGTTAGTACAGGAGGTGTCGATAGCAATCGATGGGATAGAGGCGAATGGGGGACACACTACGAGCCATTAGACACACATTGTACCAGTCAATCGGCCATTAGGGCTCTCGTTATTCCGCAAATTAAATAATCTCCCCTCAGCCTCTTTCAGGGGGAATCACGGCAGATTGTCGAAATTAATCTCGTCGGCTACCTTCAATGACGTGAGTTGCTGGCCTAATATTTTTGAGAAGGTGCTTATTTCAACAGTTCTTGCTAGAAGTACAATTGTGGTTCGATTGTGACCAGAATTGCTCTCTTCGGCATGTCTTTTATTCTTTCTGTTTTGATCCGTAAAATCAATGGTTTTCTCTACTTTTCGAATCGTTCGCGACACTAATAATTAACGATAATTGGCCGTAAAGAGTTGTTTCGTACAATTATTAATTTAAAATGATTAAATGACGGGATGAGGTATATAATACAATTAACCTCAACGGGTCAAATCTAGGCTTAAGGCTAATCTTTTACGTTTCTGAGGAGTGCAAACGGTAATTTACGGCTACAACTATAAAATTTATGACTTTGTTTTAATATTTTCAACTCATTTCAACACTTCCGTAATACATTGTTATATGGAGAAAACCCCATAATTAAGATTTGATGTTTGTTGCCATCTTTAGAGACATGTGACGTCTACTCATGCGCATTATTCGTCTATGGTAACAGCTTGTGGATCCCATACTGAACTGATGAATTAATAACTTAAATGTGACGTCATTGGAGTGGCGCCGATTGAGGCGACATTTGGCGCTTGCAGGTGCGAAGGGAAACGTCGAGGTATGGGGTGAGGCAACAATGCGATGACGATGCTCAGTTACCTCTTGTTATGCCATGATAAATGGTTCGGGGTAATTTTCTTAAACTGGGTCAAATTTTGTGGGAAGTGAAGATCATTCAAAGTATCTGCCGAGCTTTGCCAATCTTAAATCGTTTCGGTAATGTTTCTTTTTAACAATAGCAGATAAGCAGACGTGTACCTACTCATCACGCAGTAAATAGGTCGAAAATGAATCGCTGAGTCAACACATTCGACTCTAATTTTGCTGAGGAAGGCACAAATCCATTACGACAAAATTCGAGTGTGCATTTCCCTCTTTTTTGAACATTGTCCAACTAAAAGACTTTAATTAATTGCTTAATTTTTTTATGTTTTAATAGAATTTTAATCACATATTATAGTTTGTTTTAAAAGTATTAATTATATTTATGTCTACATCTCTATATGACTCATATTAGAGTTTAATTAACCATACTTCTAATACAAATACACACAATTATTTTAAAATACATAATATATCTTAAAATTAAATTAAAATATCATCGTATAGTTCTATAAGTAATTTATTGTTTAATGTGCAATATTTTCAGAAGATAAACATAAGTAGAAATATTGAACATTGCTGGATGTAGGCCTACTATAAATTAGATACAATATCTTAAAATTATGTGGAAAAATGTTATTACTTTTATGGTGTGTTATAATATTATAATTCAAAGAAACTAAAATTTGTTAATTATAGAAATTGAGATCATATTATTTTACTTTTAATAGTTTTAAAGACATGATGATGAGAGATAAGGTTAGATTTAAGCTCAGAATGACTTCTTTAACGTATAAATTACATTTTTCATATTTATAATATATGTAAATTCTTCTTAACAGCTTATTTTTTAACAAAGAATATTCTTTATTATAGGTTACGGGTTACGTTCTCAGCTATTCTGAAGTTTGTAAATCATCTTTTTTTTGTATACTTGACGGGAGTTACAGAGAAAATACACAGTTGTGGAAATCCCACCCACAGAAAGTGCATTAATGTGTCGGATGTGCCTTGTATACTTTTCGACATAATTATCGAGCTTGGGCGAGCCTCACCTGTCCAGTGGTCGGAAGTGTCACGGCTCATTACCTGGTAGCAACACCATTCTGTGGGTTTAATGCTGATGGTTTCCACTCTTGATCTTACTGGTTATATGAGCCCGAAAGATATTTTCTACTTATAATTGCTAATTACTTTAAAATAATTTCTTCCGTAGAAAAAAATGAACGTTCAATTTATACGTGAGCCAAAATAGAGCCTGTTAAGTAATTAAATTATTTATTATTTGTTAAATAATTGCAAATATTTTTCTTCAATTGTAGGCCATTGCATATTGTACTGTACAGTACATAATGAAAATGTAAATAATTACGTTGAATTCTTTTATATATAAGAATTAAATTGATAAAGTTACTGTACTATTAAGAAGTTTGTAATTGTCCCGGTTATATTTATTATTTAGATATGTCTATAATACTTTTTATAATTAAATCTACTATTCAATTACATTTTATATGAAGCCTTTATATTTAAAACATACTGAGAAAATTATATCAAGTACTTCTGTAATGAATTTGCTAAAATATATTATTAATTTTAAGATTTATTTAAAGCACTCTAAATCCAAAATCTTATATTAAAATATTTATTCCAGAAGAAAGTGCATATCTCTCGAATAAAATGTTAGGCCTAGAAATATAGATTTATAATAATGTAGAACTTTCCTATATTCGTCGGCTAAAATTAACAGAGATGTAAATGAGCCGTTTAAAGTTTATGATACAATAAAAACTAAATGTAGTACAAAAATATTAATGTATTGTATGGCTTATGCAAAGGGGAAAGGCTTTACAGCGACTTCTGATCGTTTAGTTACATATTCAAAGTGTTGTAAGTTAAAGGAAGGTGATTAAAAGTGATTAATTGAGGATTGATATTAATAGGCCAATCTTCTTAAGTTCGACCGAGTTCTGAATAATTATAGGCCTAAGAACCTATATAAATTTATTTCATTATAAGTACTTATAATATATTGGCATATTCGAACATTAAAAATCGTTAAAATTCATTCGATAGGCTAGAGTTTAAGAATGCCAACTTATTTTTTAAGGGGCTATTAAAGTCGAGATTACATGAAAGTTAACATTCTTTCGTTTCTCTTCTCTATTCGTGTTTTTTATTATTATTTTTTTTAATTTCATAATCTATACATAGGCCTATAATTTTAGCTTGTTTCACAACTTAATATTAAATATAAATTAGGCAAAAAAATCTGCTTATAACGTACAAAATCTAAATCATAAAATAATTTTAAATTATTAATAACTTCAGATTTTAGAATTAGTTAAATTTTTATGCTAAAAATGAACAGATATTTAGGCCTTTACGTATAATATATACATAACTTTTGATAACTTACTCTATCTTCAAGCTATAGAATGTTTTTGTAAGCAATTATGTTTATGTTAATTGTTGCAAATTACTGATATATCGTGTTTGTTATCATATAATTTTTACCATTCAAATCTTAATGAGAGTTTTATAAACTTTATTAATGACTACCAGCATTAAATAACTTGAAATATAACTCTTAGAAGATCTTTAAGTACAGAGCATCTAAAAGGATTTAGAGAAATGATACGTTTGTGCCTAGCAATCTGTCAAGCAAAAATCATTCTATCAAACCATAACTAATGGCTAAATTAATCAGTCGATAAACGGATGGAAAATAAATCTTCTCAATCGTCTTTAACTCATTCCATTAAGAGATTCGTCTTTGATATTAAGTCTACAATGTTCTAATCATTATAGACCTCTAAGGAATTTAACAAGTATAGCTTAACAATGCGAAAAAATGCTCTAAACACCAGGCTTAGTTTATATTTAATGGTTTAGTGCATAAATATTGAAAACGAGGTGTACAGAATTATGGTGGTGTCAAGAAAACCTCTATAAATATCAGCCTGTAAGTTTTCTTCACTGCAATTATTTAATGTCTAATGAAAAATACGTGTCAAAATTTATAGTCCTTCTATTTTTTTCGAATAAATTTTAATGGAAAAAAGACAGAATCTTGTCTACACATGATCTACCACTAGAACCACTTGTCACCTCACGGCTTGTGGGCATACACAGACGTCAGACCTAAGGTTAAATTATGGGTTAGAGTCTGGGGTTGGGTTGTTTATACTTTCATTTCTTCCCTGTCATTAGTTCAGACAGGTATGAGGGGACGGAAAGGGGTCAATATGTCCAATTTATCCAATAGACTTATTAGACTCAATTTAATGTGATCTTCTTTTATCGGGAGGATCCTAAATAAAGTTGAAAACGATTTAAGTACACCTACCTGGCTGCTGACTTTTCTAGTTGTTGGTGCTGACTTCGTATAGCCATTCTGTTTACATGAACGGGTATAGGAACAACAATTTTGGGTCCGCTCGAATTGTTGGCACTTCCTGTAGCTGCCGTTCTACCAGAAGTCAAGCCTGCTTTAACTCTTTTCCATTTGGCTCTCCTATTCTGAAACCATATTTTTACCTGAACTTCGCTTAGTTTAAGGGTATGGGCGATCTGAGATCTTTCAGTTAGAGATAAATATTTTTTAGAATGAAATTCTTTTTCTAATTCTAAAAGTTGTTCGCTGGTAAAAGCTGTTCGTCTCCTTCTCGATTTTCCGCTACCTTCTTTAGACGAATGAGATTCTGTCTTTGATACTTCAATTACATCTTTTGGTGTTTTGGATTTCTGTGCATCTAACCGATTTTCTGTTAATTTCTCCGATTGTGACGTCTCTTGTCTGTCAGGACTTGACAGACGGATGGATGAATGACTAATGTTGGGACTGTAAGAAGATAGTTGCCGATCTGAAATAGTAAATTAACAAGAAAATATGAATATTTCTACTAAATATATTCGTATCTGTCTTTTATTTTTTAAAAGTTAAACTTAGTCTTGTATATTTTATCATTATATAAAAAGAATATATTCAACTAAAACAAATAACTATATTCTACTATCTTTTTATAAGAATATTTAATTAATATTCTTATAAAAAGATTATAAATTAATATTAATATACTTTATTAATTATCTAACTTAATTGTTAATCGCTTCCNTGATATAAAATCTAATTTGATTTAAATCTTCTTCAAGTATAAAAAGTCAAAAAAATAATAATTAATATATATTATTTCTAATTATAAAGACTTAAACTACATAAAAATGACGACAGTCAAATGTTAACAAGGTTAATTTATGGTTTTTGCATAGGCCTGTATCAAAAAATTGATATTTTTTACAGTATTATAATCTTGATAAACCCGTCTTTCTTTAGAAAATGTTTTACAGTATTTAAATTAGACGTTACTATATTATTCTTATGTCACTTTAACTATTTTTATTTAAATTAAAATATTTAAAAACACAACACAATTACTTAAACTGTTATAAATTTCAATTTATTTAACTATAAATAAAGATATAAATGTAATATCATACAGTTTTATTTCTAGTTAATTAGAAGTAAATAAATTAAAAGATAATATTTAAACTTTCAATACAACTATTACTATAAAAACTAAAAAAAAAACTATAGAATTAACAAGAAAAATTATAACATAAAGCGCATAATTGAATTTAATTTTTAAAAATCCTCATTTGAATATTACAAATGGCATATTTTACTAAGGATCTTGGTGTAAATTTAAGGGGAAAATTGTTCTTGAAACGGTTGAAATATATTCATTTGAACGAAAATTCTATGAAGAGCGACAAACGACAGACTTGTCACATAAACAAAGTGGCAGATTTAACTGCACGAGTTCGTTCGGTGAAGCGGCACTTCGCGTAAGGGAGGAAGTGCATTCATATGTGAACTTGATGCATGAAAGACGATCATAAAAACAGGCCTAAACAACAGTGCCTTTTCATTATTAAAATAAATTATCATTAATTGGTATCGCTTTATGTGGTTTAAAGCGTATCCGATTAACTATGACAGCAAACAAAGTAAAGAGTTTTATTTGTTGTAATCTCTATTGCAAGACGTTTAATAGCCTATGACGGTTTGCCTAATTGATGGTTTCGGTTATTTTAATGATTTTCTAAGCTTAGAATATTTTAAGTATTTATGTACATATTTTCTGTATATTTTTTGAATAAAATAAATAATAAACAATTGACGTTTTCTTTCATTTTCAGGCTAATTATAAATCCTAATCTTTATATAATTATTATATAAATATTAAAATTGATGTAATATATGTAAATGTTATCATATATTATAATAAAATTTTCCTTTTTTTTTCCCATTCTGGACAAGTTTAAGATGAATTACTAAGCAGTGAGTGTATATGAATAAAGTTAATGAATAAAAATTTAAAAAAATAAAAAATTAAATATTTAAAAGGATTTTTATTAGGAATTTAAAAAAGTAAATTTATAAAAATACTAGTTAATTTTTGTAGATTTATTCAGATATTGATAGATGTTAGCATTGTAAATTAAAGTAAAGATACTTGATGGATTAAGTTGTTAAATTGTTTTATAAATTTGAATTTATGAGACTAAATATATAAAAAAAATAAATAAAATGAAGTATTTTTCAAATATTTTTAATGAAATTTTATATTTTATTCAAAACGAGGAGAACTTGTCATACTTTTTAATATAGAAAGTGATTTTTATTTTCCTTTTTAATTATTAAATAAATGTGTTTTTTTTTTTTTTTTAATTTAATATTCAGTTAAGAGGTCTACATTTCTTTTATTCCATTAAATTATCTGTCTTTTTGTAGGCCTACAAAGTAAAATTTCTAAGTAAATGATAAAATTATACTTTATAAAAATATAATTTATATATGACTGTTTGATGTATTATAATTATGAATAATTTAAAAGTTTAGAATATTCTACATTAATTATGAAAATAATGTTAGAAAGTAATTTTAAGTGTATTAAGCTTAAATTAATGCGCTTATAATCATTAATAATTTAATTTGGAGCTTTCTTTTTCGCTTCACAATGAATTAAAAATATGAATAAAGAAATAATATAATTTGAATTATATTATTATTATTATTAGAATTAAAATTTATAATAAATGAACCATAATTAAGCTATTTATCATATCTCACAATCATAATTTAAGATCTTAGACTGTAATTATAAGTAGAAATAAACTAATTAAAGTTTAGATTTTTAAAATAAGATTGCAAATATTACAAATTTTGAAGAGTAATTATAAGTTTTTAAACTTAAAAAATTGAATTTAGGCCTATTCTTTTATTAAAATATTTCATAGAAAACTTTCACATTAAGGACAATAAACCGGCCTACGAATGTTTAAATGACTTTTGGTGTAATTGTAAGGTAAACATTATGTTATGGTTACGTCAAGTGTTATCTACGAAAGAGCAATAACAATGGACATAAATAAAGAGATTAACAAGAGACTACATAATGTCATTGTGTAGAAGTATAAAGTAAGGTGTCTTGAGGTCGTCTCGTAGTTAAAGTTTTATATTTCCAAGTTCTTTTTAAAGTTTGGGTTAGCAGTTTTGAAAGTTTCGTTAACCTGTCGGTTAGAGAAGATGAGATGAAGTTGATAAGAAGGCTCTTACCTGATATTCTATCGGTAACTTTATGCGATTCGGTTCTAGTGCGAGTAGGAGAAGAGGGGGAACGACCGGGACTTTGTCGATCATCTTCCGTCGTCTTCGGTAGATCATCGTGTGGGCAGATCACCGAAGGCACTGTGCAGTAATTTTGCGGAAGAAGTGCAGCCAAACTCGGTAGGGCCGAGCGTAGAGCTGTGGGTGAAGTGCAGGAAGCGGTAGACGAACCAACCAGAGAGGAGGACAATAATTCTGACGAACAAAGAGACGGCGGTTGCGGTATCGGTAGTCCAGGATAAAGTCCAGCGCGAGGGAAAAACAAGTATCCGTTGTAGAGAAAAGGTATCGGTAGAGTTGGTGCACATGGTGTTCTCGGAGAGGCCGAGGAAGTCGGCGATATTATTGAGTCAATTGTGAACGCCGTGTGAGACGACAAACGCTGCATCGACGACGAGTCAGCGAAAAAAAAGGCTTCGATCAGGCAACTAACGAAATACCGAAATGGACCGAATTTAATAGATTTTCCACGAAAATTTCCATATTACGCATAAATTATTTCAACTTAAAATTGATTTCATTAAACTGCGAAACATGTGACAACGGTACCCATTGACATAAGGCCTTCTATTCTTGCAGTCGAGCAAACACATGGCTCACGGCAATACTTCGATAATCCTAAATTGCAGGGTTGTTCCTTACTCATCTATTCATCAATCTCTGGTTACAAGGACAGCACACACGAAATCTTTTCCCTCTTGATCACGTGATAATGTGACATGATCTGTGATTGGACGAGAGGCGTCAAATCAACACCCATCACTACTAAGTCGGTAGCTGACGGTTGATGCGTCCACTCTCTTATTGGTTAATCGCGACAGTTTGTTGCAACCGAATGCTTGATCAAAGAATGGCTCCTTTTATTGCAAATCAGTTGCGGCAAATGCGCTTGCTCATCAAAATTGTTTATTTCGCATAAAATATAATCCACTCCACTTTCCATAACTGAATTAACTACTTTCTATTTCTAAATATCAGCCCGTTCGTAAGAAATTTATATTTATAATTAATTAATACTTTAATTAAATCACCCAATTCAACCTTTATTTTATTAAAAATTTGAAACATTAAATAGAAAATCATTTTTTAACGTTTTTTTCTTCACTTTTTATAAATTTTAACACTTGAATATGTCTTATAGAATTTTGTTTGACTATTATTTTGGGGAGATTTTAAATACTTTATTTATTAACGACTACAATATTATAGAAATTTAATTCTAAGAAAAAAAATATAATAGCGAATCAACTGTATCAATCTTGAATAATATAACAAAATCTGTGATATTAACTGATAAGAAATTAGTTTACATTAATGAAAGATACATTTATAAGGAAATAAAGCTTATTAATTTAGTTAAAATTTTAATAAATGTACTAATTTTAAGGTGCTTAAGACAAATTTCCATGAATAGTACCTTTCTAAATTAATTTACATTTTATGTTTAGCTTAAATAAATTTATTCATATAATTTTATACGTTTCCACATCCTACATTGTGTAGATTTTTCATGGTACTTGATCGTGCAACAATTTATTTCTAAAAGTTTCTGATTAATTACATAGATCCTGCGAAGTTTCGTAAGAAAGCAGTCATTTAATACATATTAGAAAGTAGGCATTATAGAGAGTCTTGATATAAAGACTCCAGTTACTCACTTTCCCACCTGTGAAGACCGAGGAGATACCTATCGCCCTACAGGGTTCTGTAGAGTCTAATTAACATGACCCTATAGGGTAATTGTCGAGGTGGTGGCAGGGATGAAGCGGGTCAGACTGCATTCGGTTCTCCATGACGAATGCCTTATTTCGTATAGATCACGATAGCCCTCCCCAACTGATTAGGAAACCGTTTGTAGTTTAGCACACCTCCGAGCTTGAGCTCATTATCGCACTTGGAACCTGGCTATTGTTAGTGTGCTTCCATAAATCTTTGTCAGTAGGTGCCTTGGTTTGGTCTGAGCAAACAATAATCGCTGGATGTTTTGTTGATGGGAGTGAAAAAGAATAAAACTCTCCATTGTAGTTTGTTTTGTTTGTTATTATGAAGTTACAATGTACTAACTAAACGTTGAACCATATGTCGACGTCTTTGTTCGTGTTCTTTGAAGTTTGCTTACTTGAATAAAATATCAATTGCTTACCACAAGAGAATTTTAACCGGTTATAAAATAATTTAATTTTCCATTCTTTCTTCCTTATATTGAAATATAATCATAATATTATTATAAAATCGAGCAATAATTATTGTTTGCTTTATAGATTAATTTATATAATAATTGAACTTCTATTTACTAGTGAACACGTTTAAGATAGGCCTAAATTGATAATTTTCTCATTTAATTATTCCAATATCATCATAATTCTGATATTGTTCTATGCTTAAGATTATCAAAACATTCTTTAGTGTTAAGAAAAGTTAGTCGAAGTTTTCGTTTCTGTCTGACAAACACTTGTGACTTTGTGACTTTATGACACCACCTGACATTCCCCGACCCTCAGCATCACCAGGTGGCGGTAGGAACAGTCTATTGTGGTTCCTATGCTTTTCCCACCCTCTCCCCTTACAAACTCTCCTCGGTCTAACTCAGCGGAACAGGGGGAGGTGTGGAATTTCAAAGTTTCGAGCTTTGTCATTTTGCCAGATGCTTCTTCAGCGAACTGTTCTCAATTAAAGCCACCGCAAAATAAGGGAAGTGCCGCTTAGGGATTCTTTTTATTCAAATGCCGATAGCTTTGCAGAAAAAAATCAACCTTCGATGCCTTCCTAAATAACATTTCTCTTAAATTTAAAAGAAAGGTTCTGCTTTTCGTGGTCGCCGATTTCCTACTCATTAAAAGAAGATGCGTGACTAACTCGATCGCCGTTATTTTCTAATTTTCAATCAAGAGGCACTCGTGACTACTCGACTCCTCCCACTCCTTCTAATTGGTCGATCTGCCAACAATCATACCATTTTCTATTGTAAAGATCTCCCATATTAATATACGAAATCTACCTTAAACCCTTCTAAAATTGTATAAGGTATACTCGACTGTTATCAGCGATTCTAAAGAACTCACGCCTATCCTTCCCTTTTCTGTTCCTCTTTGATGAAGGAACGAAGAAGGAAAAAAAAGGCTCTTCTCCATTAGTTAGATCGCCCTCCGTCAGAGGCGCTACGTGCAGGTGTGAAAATGACCGACGTGAGGACTTAGTAATTACACTTATCGGGCGGTAAGATCGTGGTGCCCAGAGACGTCAAAATGGAGAAAATTAGCGGTGAGAGAAGAGCACCGATTATACAAAGTGTTTAGCCCCCATGGGGTTCTTTCTAGAAAGAATTTATAGTTCTTGGTACAAAACCTTCTCCTGGTTGTTTGCCCAGCCAACAAATTACGATCCATTTCCTATGTTTATCGAGAAGGAGCAAAAAAAAGAAATAAAGAAAATTTAATGTCCTAGGGCCAGCGTGTTTGCTTAAGTTTAGAATAGAATTTGAATTGAATAAAAATGAATAATTGTGTAGAGTTCAGGATGTTTAAAAGGGTCATAATTTTCTGTAAAACCAGTATTGTAATCCTTGTTTTTTTTTTTAAAACCGAAAAATTGATGTAAGCAACGTGACACAATTTTACTTAAACCATTTTTTATTTATATTGCTTCAACTTAATTTTTGAATTATCGTATACAAAACGAGTTTGGATTTTCGTAAGCGAGAGTATAAAATTTAATCCTGCCAAATATGGTATATAATTGTAAATAATAATAGAGAATAATAAAACCTATAATAATGTAAGCCTACGCGATGTGTCACAGATTTTATTGGTTGATATTGTGGAAAAAAAAAGCAGAGAGGGTAAGATTTTTTGAATTCCAAACTGTTCGTGTCAAAAAAATTATTTGAGAGGTTCTGATGTTGGGTTGATTGATTTAGATGACTGATAAGACTAACAGGTTTAGGATAAGTTGTAAATCATGTGCATCATGGCCGGAATGTCAAATTTGAAAAAAAAGGTTGGTTATTGTAGAAAAATAAATGTTTTTAAGTTATTAGAAAATGAACTAATTTGTATAAATAGATATCGAGCATAAATTACTGGACTGTGACTTATTGGTAGGGAGTAATTTCAGAAATTGTCGGGGAGAAAAAGTTAATTAATAGAGAGATGCTGCGATTGGACAAGACAATTCGTTATAATTGCATTAGAGAAAGTTGCATTGACTAATTTAGTGGCATCTGTTGCATAATTCATGATGATATACTTGATACGACAAATTAATGATAAAATGATAAGATGCCGATAATATGTTCTTAATTGGACTTAAAGGATTCTATTCATCAAAATTCTTTGTAAATGTAATTGTTTGTATTTGTCATATGAATGTTTGGATGATAAATGCTATAGGCCTAAATGACAAACAATAATATTGGAGGGGGTTAGATGAATTGGGAAGATGTACTCCGCAGTTAAATTCTCTATCCGGGGTTAATTGTGTTTAAACTGTTTGTAATCGTTCTCTAATTATACATTTAAGCATTGCCTCACCACGATCTTTAAAACACGTGACAGGATTCGTAGAGAACTGAGTTGCCCTAGATGAAGGCAACCCCGTAATTTGTATACACTCGACCCCGCAGGTGAAGGCGTCATAATTACGACCTGAACAGTATCCTAGGCCTGTAGTCACAATCGTTTTCCACGTCGCATATCATTTGATGCAATTAATCATATCGTAATCACCTATATCACACCTTTGAAGAACGTGATAATTGGCTTGGTGGAGTGGTACGTTGTCACCGGATGCTAAATGCCCGGGCACTGCAAGACCCTGGTCAACTCGTCCATCATCATTGCCTACCAGAGCCTCTGGCGAGGCGCCTACAATCGTTATAGTTGCAATTAGGTTGAATACGTGGGTGAATCAAAGCATACATTTAGCAGAACAAAGATGTTCCAAGAATACATTCATCACTCTTATTGTTTGCATGCAACACGCTGAAAGTTTATATATTTGAATTTAAAAACAGTCAAATTTTGCAACGTATAATAAGAAATCAGATTTCTAAGATTATGCACAACTTTATCAGCAAGCAAACTCGTTCCGATCAGATGATCACTCTTTTCATCAAAGAGCCATATATATTCTTTGGATAATTATTAACTTGCCCTTTCTGTCCCGAAGCGTATAAAATAGATGTCTTGAGTAAGAAGTGGGTTGGAAAGGGGAAAGAATTTTAGGTGTTGTGAACCAGATGGAGAAGGTGGGACTGGCAAAGTGTAAGGTGAGTGTTAATTAGCGGTTTCTCTCACCAGAGGGCGTTCATATTCCAATGGGTCGTTGCTACTCCAGTGCGGGAAACGGGTTGATTAGTAGGGTCTGCTTAGATTGATTAATTACTTAAGATAGTGGCGATTTGATGAAAGCATCACATCTATTTTATGAAATTGTTAACCAAGTCTTTGTTTCTACTCTACTTTTTGCTCGAAAAACTCCTGCAGTAGCCTGCCTGATGATAGTTTCTTACGCTCTAAACTTTGAAAGGGTCAAACGCATTAATTAAAAATCCCGACTCGGTGCGAATTCAATAAATTGACTAAAAACTGATTTTTTTTTTACTTTTCAATTATGCAATATAATTATCTGCAGACT